GGCAAAGCAGATCAATTTTGGATTGGTCCGATTTGGGATTGGACCCAATTCAATCTGGACCACTTAAATTTATATTCTACATTAAAAATGAAATATTTTAAAGACTTTTTAAAGGAAAAAGAAAAAAAAAATGCATAATTACAAATGTTCCAAGATGAACTTTCAAAAATAAGAAACTTGTGAAAAAGTATCAAAAATCAGGTGTCGTATTTGTCACCACTCAATAAGAAGTCAAGGTCACGATAACATGTCAGATGTCACACTAACACACAATTCTGATCATAATCATAAATCGCATATGGTCGAAGTCACAAAAACACATATTATGAGCCGCAATTACAAATTTGGTCGCAATCATACCATTTTTAGGTTACATATCATTTATTGGTCACAATCAATCACATATCATTTATTGGTCACAATTTACCATTTTATTAATTACAATCACCCAAATAATTGGTCATAAAACATTTTTTATTCCACAGGACTCAACGACTCAACTCCACCGCCACCGCACCACCCAAACGTTGTCCCCTCACCTCGTTGCCACCTCCATCAACACACCACCGCACTACTACCACCATCATTTGCAAACTGCAAACAACCACCAACAAAAACTACTTCAAAACTCCAGCTAAGCGGCGAAGCAACTAGTAAGATTGGAGGAGGAGCAACGTGGCAAGTAGTGGAGCCCATCATCATTGCAGCGATGCCCATCGTCAGAGAAGTGATGTTGTAACGCCAAATAGTTGTTTTTGGTGATTATCATATCTATCTAGATTAATGTTATTTATGTAACATTTACCATTTCATTAATATAATTATTTTTTGTCATTACTAACTATATATTTTATGGAGGAATGTTATTTGGACGCCCTAAACGATCGACTTGTCTATTAATTTAAGTTTAACAAATTTATAGTTATAGTAAGCTTAGATTAAATAATACAATATCAAATTATACTAGGCAAACTTCTTTATTAATAAGTACATTATGGGTAAATTAATCGAAAGATAATAATTGAACCAAATAATGAAAATTTATAAGCTAATGGAACCAATTTAAGACTTAAATAAGTTAATAGGAATAAATAAGGGATCCCAATAGTTAATTAGTATAAATTATACCTAATTAGATGTCATTATATTTAGGAGTTAAAGTTTTTTTTTGCCTTATTACACTTCCTTCGTAAATTAACTCGATACTTTCTTCCCTGCCTAATGCCGGACTGTTTCTCACCATTTGGGATTTGAATAAGGTAAAAGATTATGATTTACATTGATAAATGGTTGACTTTGTGTTTAATGCAATTTTGGTGGAATTATATATATATATATATATATATATAACTCTTGTCTACCTTTGGAATAGTCAAATTTTGAAG